AGGAACTCTTCCAGAAAGAAAAACTAAACAAGAGAAGATATAGATAATACAAGAGAAATAATAAGACAAAAAAAGATCAACCCAGGTAACCTTATATCCACGTGAGAGTATTTCCAGAGATAACAAAGATAATGTTGTTAGGGGAAATTTTCAAATAAATAACAAGAAAATTGTCTATGTAAAATGAGCGTCTAGATTGAAAGTCCCCACCAAATGTACAGCATAATACATGTCAGATATCATGATGAAATTTCATAATATCAAGAATAAAGAGATAATCTTAAAAGCTTCTAGGGGAGATAGGAAGGAATGAAAACAGGTTGCATCACAGGATCAGGAATAAGAATGACATTGGAGTTCTCAAGACCAGCAGTGGAAATTAGAAGACAATGTGCAATGTCTTCAAAATGCTGAGAGAAAATTATTTTTAACTTTTATTTAAATACTCAAACTATCAATAAATAGTAAAGATAGAATAATGACTTTGAGACATGGAAAATCTCAAAAATTTACCCTGTATATATTTCGTAGAAGCTACTAAAGGATGTACTCCACTGAATGAGTAAACTAAGAAAATAGGAGTCATAAGATTTATGAAACAGTGGACCTAGCACAGAAGAAAGATAAAATTTCCAGAGACATGAAAAGGGAGATCTTAGCACAACAGATGGGCAGCAGATTTAGGGAAACAAGTTTAGTTCAAAATATGAGGACAGAGAGCCTCAGGGATAACAAATGAAATTAATAAGGGATTTAACAGTGTTTCACCATCGTATAAAATTGTTTTGAGATGATTCTATAACCTTAACAGATAGTATGGAAAGACTTAGAAATTCAAATTAAGATAAACAAATTTAAAAATACACCAATTATGAACTCTAGTAAAAATCAAAGTTATTTTTTAAATGAATTATTACCATAATATATCACATGGGTCATCTATGAATTATATTTATATAAGTATATTAAAATACTAAATATAAAGATTGTGACATAACTATATTGAGCATTTGAAGAAAGATAAGGAAGTATATGAGACACCAATTCTGAGCTATAATAGAAAATCAATTAATAGTGTCCAAAATTGATCAATCAATAGACCAGTAGCAGGATGATACTTAGAAATATAGAGGTACATACCAGAATAAAGAGCTAAAAGACATGAACTGCTGCTTCTGATGAAGGGTGGGAGGAAGGCCTAGGGACTGCTTTGTTGATTTTTGTAACTTTTAGTATTTTCTTACTTTTAAATTTAGGTACATTTATCACTTACATAGTTTTTTTGTTTGTTTTACCTTTTAAAGAATCAAGGATATAAAAGAAAAGAGGTTGCAAACCATTCCTATAGGCAATATAGCCATGTATAGACATTTCAATTTTGCTGTAAGTTACTAGGCAAGACAAAAATTACTGCCATCTTTTTCATAAATTTGTTTAATCATTTACTACCTGTGTCTCTCACTAGAATTTAAGCACCATAAAAGTAGGACCAAGTAGTGTACTAGTAAATGTTTAACATTTCTATGAGAAAGGGAAAAAGCTGTTAATTTTATCATTTACCAATTTATCTGGTGTAAATAATGCCTGATTTGAAGCTACCGACATGATGCTGCTGACACTAAGGTGGGAAAAGATGCCCACAATCGGCTTTTTGTTTGTTTTTTATTTTTTCAATTACAGTTTACATTCAATATTATTTTTTATTAGTTTCAGGTGTACAGCATAGTGGTTAGACAGTCATAGATTTACAAAGAGGTCCCCCCTACCCCTGATATTTCCAGTACCACCACAGAATTTTTGTCAGTTGTGTGTTGTAGCCAATTGATTTTTATAGACTGGCTCCAACAATTTGCACACAATTGGCTTTTGTGGACTGGCTCTAACATATAACTGGAAAAACCCTGTCTTGTTCACTGTTCTATCTGGAGTTCAACATAGTGCATGACACATAGCAGGTGCTCAATAAATAGTTACTGATCTACTGACTGAATGGGGGAAAAACAACAGGAGCTCAGAGATAAGTGAACATTGAATTACATAATTTTATCTGAGAAAATACCATTTGGGAATCTAAAAGTAAAATAATTTTGAAAGCTAGAACTATCAAGCATCTCTGCCAGTAATTAGAAAATGAGAGAGTAGGAAGCTGAAGTCAGATTGTAATTTAATGGTAAGTCACCATCAATCAATAAGATAATTCTGGACCCAAAGGAGAGAAAGTATAAAGAAAGGTAGCTATGAACCAGGCAGTCTGCTAGGCACTTTATAGATGTTACTTTGTTTAATCTTCACAATAATCCTAGAAGATGTAGCTCACTGGTCCATTGTACAGATGGGAAAACTGAGACTCAAAAAGTCTAAGTAATCTACCCACTATGCTGAACACCTAAAACTAATAAAAAAAATTGTTAACTGTAATTGGAAAAAAAGTCTAAGTACTTGCTCCAAAACACACAGCTAGTAAGAATGAGAGCTGAGATTTACCCAAGTTTGTCTAACTCCTAATCATATGCTGTTTCTGCTATACCAGCTCCCTTAAAAAATACCTTTGAGCAAGTTAATTTCAAAATGGAGATGGGGAGCTTTGTTTATCATGAATGTGAAGATAATTGTCTCACTCTTTATCATTCTTTGGTTATGAAGGTAAAGCCTAGCCACCTGCGAAGTAGAGGGAGAAGTGCATCTAAACAAGCTTTTTTATAAGCTTTGTTGTCTTTGTTTTAGCTCCATCTCCTTGCTTCAAGCTGAGTACAAGTTGCCTAGCAACCAAGCTAATGGCATTTTTTGCCTTAATTACCTTTTCCACAAGCTCAAAGAGATTAAATCAAATATTAAGAGTAGAAGGTCTCAGTTTTGGGTGTCAAAATATCTGCTTACATATATGTACAATACATATGTGTGCATGCATGCACATGTGCATGTGCACACACACATGCATCTTCCTCCTTTCCTAAATCCTGTATTTAAAATACAAAGATGACCTAGTCTATATCTATGTGATGCCATATGATTGGCTAAAAGTACAAAAATTAACCATCTTGTCACATGCCTGTAAGTACACCAAACAACTGTTTTTGAACAACCACTCAACCACTTGAGGGATCCTTGTAATTCTTGATCAAATTGATCAACTGTTTTCAGGTAAATATGTGTTTATCTCCTAAAAGGCAGATTTATTATTAAACATATCAGTGGCAATAAAGTTCAAATATTTCTGCTAGACATTTTTTTTCATTAGAACAAGAATCAGCAAAATCTTTGCTATCAAGACTCAGGAGAGAAAGAGATAAGTAAACCTAAGTGTCATCTGATTTACTTATTCAGAGAGAGAAGCAGTCCACAGGATAAAGAAATAAAGGATAAGAAGGAGAATATTATGGTGAATATAAATGTCAGACAAAATCAGCTGCCTAGTTGACAGCCTTCCTCTTTGGTAACAAAATCCCAATTTTGTTTATAATTTTCCAACAGCCATAGAGTTAGTCATGGTTGTCTCATTCCTCTTTATAAATTATTGGTTTAAGTATGGGTATGTAATACAGTTATGACAGGGGACATGTGGCAGAAGGTTGCTTGAGGAGCTTCTGTGAGAGGGACATTCCCCATTTCTGTCTGTAGACATGGCCGGCTGCGTGTGATGTCTGAACTGTAGCAGCCATCTTGGAACATGAGAACAATCAGATCATGAGGTCAAGCTAGCATGCTATGACTTGCAAAGTGGAAAAATCAGAAGAATCTGGTTCATTGATAACATTATTGAGTTGCTGAATAACTGACCCTGGAGCTCCCATACCTTCAAATTTTGAAAAAGAAAATTACTTGGATCATTTTGTGTTGAGCTGTCTGCTACTTACAGCCAGAAGCATTATAATTAATACAGTATGCTAGCAAATGCTAGAACTTTTAAAGCTTATTTAGGTGTCATTCTAAATATACTACTGAAAATTACTGACTTCTACATCTGGCCTCCAATCTATAAAAAACCCTCTGTGTTTTTTCTAATCTAACTTGCATCTTAGGCTTCCCCATCTTCCTCTTATATTCCTCATCTTTTTGTATTTTTCCTCTTTGTCTTTACTCGCCATTCTTTTCTGTTTTATACCCTCACCACTTCCTTTCCTTACTCTGCCCTTAAGTGGCTGTGATTTAAAACTGAAATATGTTTATCTATACATCCATCTATATATACATAAACATCTATAAATATTGTTTCTTATATATTAGAAGGTAAGAATTCTTCCCCATTCCAAATTTCTTTCATATAGAGGTAGTCCTACTAGCAAAAAACACCTGACCTCTCTCCACTCCCTTACTCATTCCTTCCCACAAAGGAGAAATGACTTAATTGGACTGGTTAGTTTGGAAAGAACTGAGAATGTGTATCCCAGCCCTTCCTAAGGAGTCAGCAATAGGGAACACACACTCTACTATGCTCTTCCAGGCTGTACATTTTATGAAAAGGATGCTGTCATGGGGCAGGAATATAGTGGTCCAATTATACTGATGACTAGATGGAGAAGTCTGATCAATCCTTAGATTCAGTAGTGGGAAGCTCAAATGCCTACAGACAGAAGCTAAACTCTCTGATAATAAGTTTTATCAATAATAAAGGTAATATATTCTTATACACTACCTCACTTGTCTTATTGTTGAATTGGTTCAGAACTCGTGTCAGAAACAAGCCTTCTTCTTGCTAGACCCCCTTGATCAGCACTAGTATATATTAAAGTTTTGTTGCCCTGTTCACAAATATATTTTATTTATCTTTCATGGCTGTATGCTATCATTGTGGGTTGCTTGAAGGTGACAAAGATTTCCACAATAATGTTTTTGTTTTATAAATGTTTTCTGCAAAACAAAAGACATATTTAATTTGTCTGTGACTGCCTGCTATTGATTGGGTTTCCTATGGAATAGAGGCTCTTGATAGAAAAAAAAAAACATTTACTTTATTGATTTTTTAGCTTCTTGCTCATGATAACTTATACATCTGTACTTACTTGATCTGACTCCAGTTTCTCAGAAATTTCACCTCTAGCTGCTACCTCTCAATAGGCTTGATAGAAAGTATTTTCTTGAGACTCTACTGCAATGGTCAACACAGCATCATAAGCTTCCCAGAGTTTTGGGTCATTTTTCAGAACCTGGTAGGAGGTATGTCTATAGGGTAAACTGTAGAACAGGGCATCATAGGGAACAAAGATATAGGTTCCATCAGTCACACTCAGATAATGAGCCCACTCCAAGAGATGTGTCTGAGTTTCTCCCTCAGTCAAGGCTGAATGCATACACATTATGATTACTGAAACCAACAGAGCAAGAAGGTAGTGACAGCAATATGTTAGTAAATATAGTACCCCAAACTACAGATTTGGAGAAGTAAATATATGTGTTATAACCAATTTGTAAATGATTTCTATCTTTTGCCTCCAAGATGAGCAAAATTTGAAGTCCTGATCTGAGGCTGAGGTATGTTCAGGGACTCTGGATTAGGCATAGGGACAAAACAAATATGTCCACAGGTGCAGAACCTAATACTAGGTAGAAACAACAACAAATATAGAAAACAAATGGTAGCATAATGAAGAGACTTTGTGGTTGGAAGACCTAGGTTCATATCTTACCATCATCAGTTATTAGCTGTATACCCTTAGGTAACTTACTTAACCTCTCTCTGTCTCATTCATAAAATGGAGTTAATAAATATCTGTTTCATGGGGTGGTAGTAATGATTGAAGAAGAAATTCATACCAAGGGCTTAGCACATACCTCTCAATAAATAGTAGCTATTATTATACCTAAGAATAAGTAAGCTAGAAAGAGATGATGGGAGATACTCCAATTGCCACTGTTACTTTTTATCACCAAACCCCTAAAAACATTTCAGTAGATTTTGACCTACTGTTCCCACTCTCACCAGGATCCTTATAGACAATGAATGGCACTAATTTACATTCACCTATAAATGTTACTAATATGGGTAAGTTCAACTTTTAAAAATCTAACTTCCCTACAATTGGAATTACTTTGCACTCAATTTAGTTCTTCCTAGATTTATAAAACTATGTTGGTTAGCAAGGCTACACTAGAATAGAGTAGATTAGAGGAAACCATGGCTGAAGAATGGGAACTATATCATGAGACTGAAAGTCTTATACACAATTTTGCCCTCCATGTAAATGAGTTTAGTGTAGGCTCACTTGCACTTCAGTACCCACATCTTTAAAATGTAGATTCCAATCCATTTCACAGGTACATTGCGTAATTTAATTAAATAATGCTGGTAAGTATTTTAAGCTCCTTGAAGAAAGGAAAATGTCCTATTGCAATTGATAAATATTAATTATACATGCTTAAGTGGGAAGCTTTAATCTCAGGAAGTTTCCCATCTGACTACACTTAACTAAGTTCAATGACTGGTCCTTGGAATTTACACATTGTTTCATCAATTTTCAAAAACTTTCTTTGCACTTGTTAAATAGCCCCAGAAAAGTTCCCCTTGGAGCTAAAGCTGGTACCCTTCACTTTTTCAGGAATGAATTATGAAACTGATTTAAACACACCGCACACGCGCATGTGCACACACACACACATACACACACACATAACTTGAGTTTCCAAATGACCGTTAGCCCCTTCAATATAATTACCTTAAGAGGTTCTAAATGTATTGTGATGCTTAAACCTTTCTTCAAATTCTCTAGGGATATCTTTGGAGCTAGTTTATGAGCCACACAGGGGATTCAGCCTCCCTTGTGCATAATCACATATTGTATAATGAGAAACTAGAGAACCAAAGAGGTTTGACAAGGCAAGGGTTGGATTTAGAAAAAGAAACTAGAACCAAAGTTCTCCAACTTCCTACATTTATCTACACTATTAAACAGTTTGGTCAAATAAATCTAGTAACAGGGAAAAACTGAGTTAAGTCAAATGTTTCGGTTAGTTGGCCAGTTCGTCCAACAGTATCCTTGGAAAATAGGTCAGTATTGACATTTTTCTTCTACAAAAGCAGGAATTAGATGACTCAACTGATGTTACCCAATAGAGATAGAATTCTATTTAATTTACTTAAAGAAGTAGAACTAGGTGCTTTGTGTTGGTTGAAATATATGAAATAATTTTAACATATAATACTTGTAGTGGGTGCTATAGTGTGCCACACAAATGTACCCTTCATAACTGAAGCACTAATTCTCCTAACTGCTGGGAGTGTTAGGAGGTGATAGCTGATGCCTCTCTGGGAATTGCCCTTAGCTGAGGAAAGCCACATTTCCTGAGGTCACATCCCATCATTAGTGTACTGGAGTCAGCTGGTGCTGGTAACAGAGCTTATGGTTAAATCTTCAGGGATTTTGTGAGCTAGTTAATGTCATATTTGTAACATAAAATCAGGCATGGTGGTGGTGATTACACTATTAAAATGAGCTAATGCTACAAATCAGAGCTTCCTCCTCCCCACTGAAGAGCTGGCTGTTAAAAAATTATTTTCACATTGCACCCATTTCTCTGCCTCAGCCTGTACCCAGTGACTAGTCAACATGGAGATATAAAGGCCAAGAATATTTACCTCAATGCTGGAACACTCTAAGGGGTTATCCCAGCTTGAGAGCTCCCGTTGGGACTGGTTAAGGCCTTTGTTGCAGCTACACGACCATTCCATTTTTCTTTCTGCCCAATTTTACTGCCTTCTCTTCCTCACAGGTGATGTCCTTGAAAACATTCCCCCAATAAGCTTCTTGCACACAAATATTCATTTGGCAGACATTTTTTCCAGGGAACCAACTTGGGACACTGATTTAGAGCCCCATTATGCTCTGAACTGACTTCTATCATGGCGTATACAATATGTATTTCCCCTATTTACATCAGCTTCCACTATGAAACTGTGAGCTCCTGAGACTGTATGTTATCTATCCTGGTATGTATTATCTTGGTACATATTAGGTACTAGGTAAATATTGTTTAAATGAATGTTTGAAAATTTCAGAAAGAGAGGTTGTATACTTGGGTATCTCTTGTTGGTACCTTAAAAGACATGGGCATATTTGAATTGTTAGTGTGGAGCAACAATTTGAAGTGACATTTGCTGAGCAGGTAGATACTACCATGGCTATTTTTAATGCTTAGTATCATTAAATATGCTCAAGACTTTACTCTCAAACTGAATCTCTCACTGAGGACATTTCAGATAAGAAGTCAGAAGTTTCATAATTGGAAATACCCCTAGAGACCATCTAGCTCCTCTCTCACTCCCATTACTTTATGGGTGAGGAAATGGAAGCTTTGAGATGGAATGATCATAGGTTCCTCTGTTTTTTGTGGCAAGACCCTGCTATTGAACATAATTAAATTAAAAAGCATAAATATGGAATTCAAACAACCACATCTTAATTTAATAGATTGCTTCATGAACAGGGATTTGTAGATGAATCTGGTCTACACCATGATATATTAAATAGCTTTATTATCTCAAAATTACATTCATTAAAATGGGATTTTACCTGTAAGTTGTTGTCAGGAAAGGATTAGTGGACAGAAACCTTAAATCCCAGGCAAGGCCTGGGTCAGCAAGTGATAGTTGAATAATATCAATTCCTAAGTTTCCATTCTCATTAGTACCAGTCAAGCTATTCCATGACCAAAACAAAGACCAGGAGATACATTCTCCTGAGTTCCTATCTTACCAGGATTTAATATTTGCTCTGTATCTGAGTTACCTGAACCCTGCTCAATATGTCTAGCAGCTCGATGTCTTTATACTGTGGTATCCATTATGACAGGCTGTCCAGGACCCCCTCTTTCACCCTCAACACTAGTAGCAGGAAATGTCATGAAACTCTAGGAAAAGCTAATCACCAAGTCACTCAACTCCTACTTCTTTTTCTATATTAAAATACTCTGTCTAATATTTCCTTGTGATAGAGGAACTGTGTTTCTGAGAAAGCAAAGTTATTTTTTTTTTATTTCTCACATCTTACTGGCTATGTAGTCCTTGGGAAGAGAAACTGTGCCCAGTCTCACACTTTTTTAGGTGGAAATTATTCCACTAACTTTTGCTGAAGAAGCCCTTAAGAGTCATGAGCATACAGTCTTGCTCTGAATTCACAGAAACCCCCATTCTATCGTCTTTGCTCTTCATTTTTACCATTTTGTGACATTTTCCACCACTAACATCTATTTTAACCTATTTTATTTTAACAAATATTAAGAGAGAGGGGACAGTAGGCAGGTCAGGGGAGGAGGGGGGTATTCAATGTGATTTACCCCAAGCCTCATATTTCTCTAGGATTTACCCCATCTGGCCATACTATGAAAGAAGTAGATTCATACCTTCTTCCTCTGTTTTCCCCTACCCAGTCTATAAAATGGATACATAAAAATAGGTTAGGAAGATGTAGAATCTGCATGCTTCCCAGCCCTCCCCCTCCCCCACAGTGTGATTCAGTACAAGAGGCTCTCAAAGCATACTTTAAGAACACTGCACTAGGTGACGTGTGGCTGTTTCTATTGGCTGAGGACACCCCACACATTTTCACTTTAAGTCCTGGGACCACCACTTACTTAGCTGCCACAAATGGTGACCAGTCCAAGTACCTCAGCATGATGTCAGACACATATTACAGTCAATGGCCATTCTGTCTGCATTGGGTCATTTTTCACATACCCAATACAACTGGTAGTGCAAGTGCATTTATTGCTGTCCAGCTTGAAATAAGTTTTTAATATTTCTCCACACCTTGCAACATATGTTTTCTTCAATCTTCCTAACCTGCTATACAGATAAGTCCTCTTAAATACAGTAAACCTAGATGTTTAGAGATTATCTCTTCTGCTGGGTCTTCAATATTTTTTATCATTTTTGATAGTGGACCCATTTATGAGAGTAAGTTTTTCTTTCACCACTTATATTCACCTACATTTATCTATGTCAAATCCTATACCAATTTCCCTATCAGCACTAAGACTCTTGGCCATAGCTCTATCAGTATCACTATTGTTATTACTGTTAAGAAAACAAGGCCTGGTACCCTGAGGCACTTAAAAGAATTTCATTAGTGGATCCAAAAGTTCAAAAAGAAAAATGGAAGGGCTGAATTATATACCACACACAGAACACAAGATCTCAAGTGAGTATTCTTTATGGTCATACCTCAAGTTGACAGGAGGCAGTAGAGAATGTCTTTCATTAGACGAGTGGTTCACGAAGTGTGGACTCTGAACCAGCAGCATCAACACCATTATGAACTGTTGAGAAATGCAAATTCAGGGGTCCTACCCCAGCCTTTCTGAATCAGAAAC